TCACCTGAGCCTTGGTGTCCAGATTTTTTATTGGACCTCCATCACATGGAAATGACTGATTGCCTATGTGGCTGATCTCAGCTTCCAGCCCCTACAGACATCTACTGATACTGCATGACCTGGAAATCATATTGCTGGTCTTTCTGGTTAGCCCCCGCCCTAAGACTATTTGATATGGCCAGCCCCCACCCTAAACCATATTTTTAAGATTACCTGGTGACCCAAAGCTCCCAGGCAAACAAAGACACTCCTATTAGGCATGACATTTCAAGAGCTTAGAGATTACGTCCCAGGAGCCAAGGACAAAGGCCAGATCCCTGTTAGGGCAAGGTTAAATTTTTTACCACAGAAACCTTGAAAACATTATACTAAGTGAAAGGAGCAAGTCAAAAAAGGCCAGATATTGTATAATTCCATTTATATAAAATTCCCGGAGTAGACAAATCCATAGAGACAAAAATAGATTAATGGTTACATGAGGCTAGGTTGGGTGGGGATGGGAGAAGGAAAAGGTGAGTGACTTCTAATGGGTACAGGGTTTCTTTCTGGTATATTGAAAAAATTACATAATGCTGATGGTGGCACGACTCTGAATATACTAAAAACTAAAGATCTGTACACTTTAAAAAAGGTGACTTTTATATGTGGGAAGGTGAAATATATCTCCATAAAGCTGTAAAACCAGTCAAGTAAAATGCAGAATTTATAAAATGAATAAATTAATAAGTATGATATAGTACACCTTCATTCATTTTTTTTCCCCCAAACGGGCTTTAGAATTATTTTGTGGAGTGTTTTTTTTTAAAAGTCTGTAGGAATATTGTCATTGACTTGACCATAAATTAACTTAGAGAGACAGCTGATATTTTTACAATTTTATGTCTCAAAAACATTGTTTATGTTTTCACTTATTAAAATCTTCTTTCGTATAGTCCAAAAACATTTTGCAGTTTTCTTTATATAGATTGTACACATCTCTCAGGATATTGATCCTTAGGTATTTCATGTCTCTGCTATCATGAATGCAATCTCTGTTTTTATATGGTTACTAAGTATAACAGAGGTTTTTACTAAGCAAGCCAAAAAATGTTCTGAAGTATGTCAATTTATGAATAGAATCAAATTTTTTTTNTATAAATGGAAAACTATAAATAGTAATTGTGGTTTGGATCATATACTTTAAGTAACTGTTAATTTCAAAACAAAAAATATTTTGAAAACAGCATAATATCTTAAAAGTGGATATCTTAAAAAAAAATTTCTGCCTTTGTCTTCACAAAGAGTCAATAGGCTTTAAGTCATTATTTAAAAATTGGATTTACAATTGTGACTAAGTAGGATAATGAAAGAATACCAGGGTCCACAACCCCCACCAAGTCCAACATGAAACTAAGAATTCCAGGCATAATTCATACCGGATATACTGAGCAGGAGCCAGTTTATCAGCTGCTCGAACTGGCATAGCTGCAGCAACCTTCTGTGATACAGATTTTTCTAAGGCTACCCTTGTCTTTTCTGTAATCTGAAATAAGAAATGCCGCATTGAGTGGTTTGGAAGTTAATAAAGATATAAAAAGTCATCTAAAATAATTATACACAGCAATTCCCAGTTACCTCTTTAATAGCTTCTTCATCAGGTCTTTGCAGGTCTGGGTCATCTGCATTCATGACTTCCTTGGGAACCAGGTCAGTGTACTTGCTATAAATGACCTAAAATGTTCAAACACAAGCAGACTTAAGAAAAGCAGAGAATGAAAAGAAGCAACCTCAAGTCATTTCAAAGCTCGACATGTCCTCTCAGCAAACTTAAAATTTAGGATACAGATTTTGTCTTTTAGATTTTAAAACCAAGGAAGCTTAAAATATATATGTAAATTGCTGCCCTGGCTATATCAACTAATAATTTTCCTTTGACCTCCTGCATTTAAATTATTTGAGATCTTCTAATCAAGTCGGTATCCAAATAAAATGTGCCAACAAAATCTTATGCATCAGTGATCCCTATTTTTGAGGATCACTAGGACTTGAAATTAATGATGATATAAATTGCCTATAGCACCATTATCTTGGATTACAAGTTCATCAGAATTTAAGTCAGGTTACAAAATAATTTCCAAATTCATTGGGCCTGGACAATTGCATTGACCTCACCTTACTTAGAATGTTTATCTTTTCTGGCATCAACTCTATTCATAGACTAAGGAACATGTGCCATTGTCAAAAAACCCAGAACACTATTTTCCATGAAAACCACCCCCCCGCCCCAGATAAAATACATTCTATATACGTAACTTATTTTACATTCATTACCAAATTTACGACTGCTATCTGATTTCTACTAGGCTCAACATTTAGATGAACACTGATGTGGCAGGCCTGTGACAAAAAATAGAAAATTACTTACTTTCATGCCCTTCTATACTACTTGAATACTTTCATAAACACTTACATGGCAGAGTTTATAGAAAAAAAAGAGGTGCTGGAAATTTAATAAATAAGCAGCCTTCTAGATTTTGCTGCTTGAGTCAGGAATTCTTTGATACACATAGAAAGGACAACTTATGAATATGAAAGAAAATGAAATTCCTGGGTACTTGAGATCTTTAAAAATATTCTGCAGAAGAAAACTGCTTGCTACTAAACCAAAGTTTTTTAATCAATAATTGCATTCTACCACAACATTCCTTAAAACTGACTAAAGGAAATGCAAGTTATTCTTAATTTCCTGCTCCAAACAACAGGGCAAACACTTTATGGCCCATTCACCCGGGCTGGTGTGGCCTGCAGCTGCAATCTCCCCCTGTACCTCACTCCCTCATTCAGTATGCTTCAGTCACATGGGCTCTTCTGTTTTAGGAACACAACATGTTTTTCCCTAATTCTGGGCATTTATAGAGTGTTGTCCCCAGTTCTTCAAGTGAGTTTTCAAGCTCTCAGTCTCAGTTCAAAGGTCATGCATGCATTGGTGAGGCCTCCCCTGGCTGCACTCACTAAAGCAGCATCCCTTCCCCACCTAGTCGTTCAGTATCACAGCAGTTTATTGTCTTCAAAACACTGCTCACAGAATAAAATCATTGATCTATTTTGCTTGTTTATCTGTGTCCCCTATTAAAGTAATAACAACAATAGTGAACATTTGTTAAGTATTTTTTTGTGCCATTGTTCTTTTGCTTTATATATATTAACTAANGGCCCACGTCGCGCTGTTCCCCGAGCCCGGTCACCGCCCGGAGAGTGTGGGCAGAGAAATTAAAGAAAGTGGGTACTTCCAGACCCTTCCGTATCGACGACCCGAATCAAAAACCCACCTGGTGAGCGCCATCTTCTTCCGCTTGTTTCCAGCGCGAGCGACGCACCCCGGGGCGGGTCTTTCCCGGAGACGAGTCGGGGGAAGGAAGGAGAACACGATGCGCAGGCTCCCTAGCCGAAGTGCCTTCTGGGATTTGTAGTTCTTCAAACAAGGCTACAATTCGGTTCCACTCTGACCAAGGTGTTATGCGATAATCGCTTCAGTTAAGAAAAGCAAATGCATCACTCGTACACTGGGACATGACAGGGCGTTCTCTAGGCAAAATAACAAAGTTGAGATGTTTTTTAAGCCACTTTATTTTATTCCCCACTCAGTCTCATTATCCTGGTAGGGGTCCAAAATACAAGAGCCTTCCCAGTACGGCAACGTTAAACAAAAGGGTGGCAGGGTTTTAAAACAACAGAAAATCGTGTAATGCCGAACGGAGAGTTCTTGGATGCTCTGAAAACAGTCACACTCAAAATTTTCTTTAAACGCTATCCCTTACCCTGAGACCCTACCCCAAACACTCTCCTGGGGAGGTATTGTGTGATTCTTGTTGCCTTTCGAACACTCATATGTATTATGTATGCATGTTTATGTATGTATGTATGTATGTATGTATGTTTGTATGTGTTTTAGGTAGGTTGTGTTTTACATAGTTTATGGATTAAACATAATCTTTTATGAAGTGGCAGGATAAATGGCATTTGCTTCAAAATATTGAGAGAGGAAAATGGGTGGAGTGTAGATGAAACAAGACTAACCCTGAGTTTTGCTCACTGTTGAAGCTGGATAATGGGGAAATGTACACTTTTGAAATTTTCTTTTGTATATGTTTGAAATATTCCATGATAAAAAGTAGACACAAGTTTTAATAGCACACAGACAGGAAGATTCATACGCTCTAAACGTACTGCTCTTTGACTTTTCCCAAACCAAACACACTGNAAAAAAAAAAATTAAGTCTCAAATGTTTGCTTTTCTCCCTAGATAAAAGTCTGCCCTGGAAACACAGAAAGGAATATGTATTGAACTGATGTATAGGATCCTGCGTAATCAGGATGATAGATGCTGCCGAAGAAGTTTGTTCTTTGGAAACAAGCTAAGGATATAAAAAGATTATTCCAGATTCTTCTCTTCTCCCTTACTGCCTCCAAATCAACCGTCAAAATTCTCTTAAACCTCTTAAAAATTTATCTAATCTGTACATTAGGCATATGTTAACATTCTCAAATTGAAAACAAGGAAACAGATGAATAGAGGTTAGGATCTAAGCAGGGTCGCACAAATAGTAAGTAGCACAGTTATGATGCAAGACCAGTTTGTTTTTAAACTTCTTGTCAGTGCTCTTTCCACTTTTTCTGATTTCCGGAAATCAGAAAAAGAAATGCTGCTGGTGTTTTTCCCTGGGGGAATGGCAGGCTGTCCCTTCAGGGTTACATGGTACTGTGCATGTAGCGGGGAGGAGGAAGGGAAAAGTGCCCTAACATGAATTCATTCTTTCATTTTTTTCCTCTTACTTTCTCAGTATTTTCCATATAATCCCTAGATTTATAAAGGGTATATTAGTTTCTTTTGTACACGTTTAATAGTTTGACATAAAAAGAGATGTAAACTAGTACAAATCTCCAGTGATCACAAACCAGTGATAATAGGCAAGAAGAAAATGATTAATCTTCTGAGGGGAATATATGGCTTGTGAGTTCACAACCATAATTTCTATCATACCGATATTCATATGTGGAGATTCTAGGGTTTAAATTCATTTTACAAAGATGCTATAATAAATTTCAACACAATTTAATACATTCAAACTGAAGATCCTCGTTCACCTCTAATAACCGAGGAATCCAGCCTTTCCGGTACCCGTATGGGGGAGGCTCTCTCCGGGAGGAGACCAGGGAGGTCTGCCGGGATCTCTGGGATCTCGCCTTCTCTTCAGCCTCAAGCTGGTCCTGAGATAGCTGTGTAGGTGCAGGTAAAAAGCTATAAACAAAGAGAATACAAATCAGAAGTTTTGTAAAAAAACAATTATTTTAATTATTGCAATTTGGCCACACAAGGCTATTTTCCTATAAGACTTTTTTTTCCTTTGAGCGAAAGAGAAACTTCTCAATGATTTGTGGCAGTGTTCATTATCAGTCATTTTGTTATATCTGGAAAGAAATAAGTACTCAGAGGAAAGAAATAAGTAAAAACATTTAACTAGACTGTAGGCAAATGGTGCCCAGGATAAAAAATTAACAGATATTTCACATAATATAACATGTGTCCATAGATATTTGGCAATTTGGAGCTGTTCTATGACTTCCCCAGTTTGGGATAGTTGCACCCCATCTGGACTATCACAAGACCCTCTGTGTACTAACTACTACTATAACATCTACGAAACTGTATTGCAATAATTTCTTCATTTACCCTTTTTTTCTCCCACTAAACTGTGAACCAGCATTGTCTAGCTCACAGCAGGGGCTACTTAAATGTCTGAAGGAAAAATACAGTAAATATCCTTCACACTCACCATCTTTATGTCACCACAGGCCTCTTGCCTTTCCTTAAATAAGTCTTCCCAGCATCTTACATTTGCTCTACCCTCTGCCATAAAAATTCTATTTACTTACTAAGAATATTTTTTCCTATGGTGCTTTTATAGAAAATTCTTCCACAGATCTTTGAGTGCTTGCTTCTTGGCATTCTCTGCTCAGTTATAACCCCCTAGAGCTGTTTTCTGAGCACCCTGTCCAAAACTGCACTCCACCTCACATCTTTATTTTATTCCTAGTACTTACTTCCTAAAATTGCATATTGATTTCGTTATTCATATATAGTCTGTCTCTCCTAGAATGTAAGCTCTGTGAGAACAAGGAGTTTGCCTGACTGATTCAATACTTTAAAACCTTCACTACAATAGTTCCTNCATTCATTTAACAAATAATTACTGAGCCCTTACTATGCAAGATGCTAGAGATACAGCAATAAACAAAACAGGGATCTTGTGGAGTGTACATTCTAGGGGGCAAAGCTATAAAAAGCATAATCTTTGGCTTGTGATAAATGCCCCGAAAGTAATAAAGGGACTGGGAAGAAGGGTTACTTTCGATAGGGTGGCTGGGATGGCCTTTGTGAAGAGGTAACATGTGAGCTAAAGCCTGAATACTGAGAAATCACTCGTGGGAAGATCTGAGGGGAGCAATCTAGGCAGATCAGATAGCATGTGAATGAGCTCAGCACGTTCTGGGAAATGAGGGTCCCGTGGGGCTGTAGCCTGTTGAGGGCAGAGGGGCGGACACACAGGTGATAAGGATGCGTGTAGACAAAAACCAGACCATGAAAGGGCTTCTACATCATGGCAAGCAATCTAGCTTTTATATATGTGGCAGGTAAAAACTAAGCAAAATGTTTAAGGAAAGATTTTTAGTTTTAGAATAATTAGCGAGGAATAGGTCAAGCTATAATTGGGGCAGAAATGTAAAGGATTTTTTTCTTGGAATCAGATTTTAATAACATGATATTAGTATTCAGTATTTCATGAGAAACAAATAAATAGGATAGGAAAAACACAGAAATGAGTTTGCCACATTTCTAATGGTGATTATATACAATTTAGGAGAACTAAGACATCTAAAGTAGAACAAAGTAAAGCCTGTTAGTAAAGTTCAATATTACAAAAAAGAGAGATAAAATAAACAAATATTAAATATAATTTTAAAATAATTTTGTTAAACTTAGTAACATTTGCTTAGTACCTTATAATAATTTATAAAATATAATCCACACATCTAATTCTTGTAATTCTGCAACACCTCATATTTTCATATGGAAAAATTCAAGTTTAAAACAGTTAAGTGATTTTCCCAAGTTCTCATGGTTAGCATATGCAGGACTTGAATCTAGATCATTTGACTTCAAAAAACTCTGTATTTCCTATTAAACTGAAATACTTTTCTTTTAGCTCAAAAAGGCAATTCAGTACTACTAATAGAAAAAACATATTAAAATTAATTAGAGGAGGTTTGACAAAAATAATTTATGAAAATACCACTTTTATAAGACCTCCTCAAATAGTCCTTTAGATCATGGATATATGATTTCCTAGGTACAATATGCTTACTTGCTAAAGAAAGGTTTGACATTTTTTAAAGCTAACAATAAAGCTGAGAGATTTTCTTGTAAATTAGGCAAAAATAGTTAAAGCAGTCTCAAGAAAGGTGCTATGTGTACCCAGGCCATCAATCNGAAGTGGCTTTCTGTTAGTCAATGAAAACTGTATCATTCCTTCAACAAGCACGGGAGAATGCCTGTGTGTCAAGTTGTCAGGCGCTAAGTTAAGTGCCAAAGAGGAAAATACAGATATAATCTCTGACCTCAAAGAGCTTATAGTCAAATGACATAGATCATTAGTGAACGAGTAATTACAACAAAAGGTGATGACTGCTATGATAGAGTAAAAATATGGAATAGGGAGGAAGGACTACCCAATCTAGTCAGAGAAGATCAGGGTGAATATCTTACAACAGTCCAAACCAAGTTGTGATTCAAAGCAAGAGGATTTAGTCAGACAAAGACTAGGCAGAGGGCTTTCTCTGGCATGGGAGGGCAGCGGTAATTGTTTAGTATTGAAAGTAAATAGAATGGCTAAAACTGGACTACTTATTTTTGGATTTCAGAATTCTGGTCATGAGAGCTGAGGATAGGCCAGACAGGTAAATAAGGGGTCAGGTTTGCCTTAAGGATTTGGTTGGTTCTTATCCTAAAGGCCAAGGAAAGATTTTAAGTGTGAGTGTATGTGTGTGCAAGAGCGAGCGAGTAAGATAAACAGATAAACATGGATGTATTTGTTTGTTCAGGCAGGCAGGAAAAATGCCAAGGAGATGCATTCAGATTCTGCTGCAGTAAATCAAAAAAGAAATGATAAGGGCTGGAACTATGGAGCAGAGAAGGGAATATACCTGAGAACTGTTAAGGGAATACGATGGATCATGGTGACTAAATAGATGGAGTGATTGAGGGAAACAAAAAGGAATAGAATGCTTGTTAAGCAAAGGCTTTTTAGAGAACATACTGGCATTACGTGTCACACTTGAAATTTGAATATCCTTTGACCCAGTAAGTCCACTACAAGAATTTATTTTACACAAAGACTCATGTGTAAAATGATGTTTGTATATGGAGCTTAACTAAAGTAGTGTTTGCAAAACAAAAAATTGGAAACTACCAATGCTTAAAAAAATATTAGGGCACAAGCATACCTTGGAATACTACATAGTTTTTTTGTTTTTTTTTTTAATGAAGCAGACTTATACATACTAACAAAAATCTTCAAAACATATTAAGTGAAAAAAGCAAGTGTATGAAAGTTATGGGTATTAAAATCTGATTCATGTAAAAATGGTGTGTATATTTGTGTATATGTGTATGTAAAGTGTGAATACATATACATAAATATGTAAATCCATAACAAAGGTCTGCAAAGATATATATCATTGTAGTAACAGTAGTTACCTCTGGGAAGTAAAGTGGGAGAAGTAGGTAGGACTTAATGTAGTATTGGTATCTTTTACAATAAAAAAATATTATTAGTGTAATAAAAAGAAATCAATAAAATAAGGGGAAAAAAGGACTCCCAAGCTTTTAACATAGTCATTTAGGAAGATGTCACTGCCAATCACTGAGTTAGCAAATAGCAAAGGTAGATTNCTAAAAAAAAAAAAAAAAAAAGACAGACACTAACAAGTATTAGTGAAAATGTAGAAATATTGGAACCCCCGTACAGTGTTGGTAAACAAAATGTTGTATATTCATACAACAGTGTTATTTGTCAGTAAGAAGAAATGAAGTACCAACATATAAATCAACATATATGAACCTTAAAAACACTAAGTTAAGTGAAAGAAGCCACAAAAGACCACATGGTATATTATTCCATTTATGTGAAATGTCTACAATAGGCATATCCACACAGAACGTAGACTGGGGTTAGGGCCAGGGTGAGAGGGGCAGAAAAAGGGACTGAGAAAGAGAAGTAACTGCTAATGGGTACGGGTTTCTTTTTGGAGTGTTGAAAAAGTTCTAAAATTATTAGGTGATGATGGTTGTACAACTCTGTGAATATAATAGAAATTAACTTAATTGTGTACTTTGAAAGAGTGAATTTTATGGTATGTGAATTATATCTCAATAAAACTGTTATTTTTTAAAAAAATCTCTGCTCCCAGTTTCCTCTGACTCCCTCTGAGATAATGGGTACTCTCAATGGGCTTTTGCCTCTCTTCCCCTATTTTTATTTTTCAATTCCTGAGCCTCCCTTTACTGATTAACTCCTTATCTGATGGTTTTTCTTAAGGTTCAACCTTATACCCTTTTCTACTGGTTATGCTCCCTGAAGGTAGACTCCCAACGTCACCACTAACTACCTGTGTGATCTTGACCAAGTTAGTTAACCTCTTGACCTCAATTTCCTCATTTGAAAAAAAGGAGATAAGAATTGTACCTTCTTCATAGGTTAAATGTGATGATAAAAATGACTATTTATGAAGCCTGTTTAGAACAATACCCAATACAGTACATAGTAAATTCTGTATTAGTATTTGTATTAGTATTTGTAATGATTGTTTATATATTAAAACCCTAGGATAGTATTGAGCACATAGTAAGTGCCCTATAAGTATTAGTTATTATTATTATTAACTTATTTTTATGAGGGTACTGGCTAACATTCCCAAGATCTGGTCTGCTGTTGATGAACATTTGAGCTGTTTCCAATGTGGGGTTATTTATGAATAATATAGCTTTGGATATTTCAGCATCACTTTCTCTAGGGTTTACACTAGGAGTGAATTGCATAGTCACATGGTATGTGGATCTTCCTATTTACAGATAATGCCAAACCATTTTCCAGAGCGGTTGATTCAGTTTATATTCCCACCTCCAACATTTGATATGCTCATCTTGTAAAATGTTACATCTGGTATATAATGATGGCATGGATTTTAATTTGCGTTTCCCTGATTACTCC